ACATGCCTACAGGCCCTAGATCGACAGCTGCTTGGAAATGTCTAAGATGGCTGCGTGCTCCAGGACAGCCTACAGTCCTCCCTTTCTCTTTTCTCTCACTACTCCTGCTCTGCTTCCTCATCCAGTCAGCACTCAGTCTACCTTCCCATCCTATCCTCAGAAGCTCAGCGTTCCAGGATCACCATCTGTATCTGCTTTATGTCATCTTCCATGTCTTTGTTGTAGAGGGTCTGCTCAGTGCATCTGCTTACTCTTCCACTTGCCCCACAAGCCTGTCTGTGTTTTTCTTTTTTTTTTAAAAGAGTGCTGGTGATGCTGTAGGATAAGCACTGGTCTGCTAAACAGATGGTTGGCAGTTCAAACTCACTAGTCAATCTGTGAGAGAAAGATGAGGCTTTCTGCTCTCATGTGGCGCTGTGGGATAAAGTACTGAAATGCAAGTCAGTCTGAACTTCAAGGTCAGTGATTCAAACTCATCAGCCACTCCTTGGAAACACTATACAGTGTGACTGTGAGTTGGAACCCACTTGATGGCACATAAAAGCAACAACAACAACAAAGATTTATACCTTTGGAAACACTATACAGGTGGCTGTGAGGTGGGATCAATTCAACGGCACGTAACAATCCAGCATGTGGAGTTTTATCCTTTTCTCCCATCTTCTATCTTAATTATTTTTGTAGTGTACATGGATATATAGTGTTTGTAGTAGTAAGAGTGTATTTGTGGTAGTGAGAATGGGACTGTGTAAGTAAGAATGAAAGCCATACCTGTTCTGTTCTGTTTCTTCTACCTCTAGTCTAAAGATGTACATCAGACTTAGTCTTTTACAGTGAACAATTTTGTGGTATTTGCATAGCAGATCTAAAGTATCTGGCCATCAGCTATGTCATACTAAACAAAATTAAAGTTACTTATTTTTCTTCAAAAGGCAAATATCAGAATCCTGTTTCTTGTGTCCTTATAAAAGCAAAGCAAGTCATTCTCTAAGGAGGTACTCTATCAATTTGAGAAAAGTTCAGTGTAAAAATCACATCAAAAGTTAGGAGAAAGTCATGGGATGGATGGATGGGTATGGATGGATGGAATGATGGCTGAATGGGTAAGTTGGTAGGTAGGTACATAGAACTAGTATTTTGGATTTCAGATGTAAAATAGATATGGCAAGACAACTGGCTTTTTTCACCTAGAACCATTTTATCTGACTTTTAGGTTAGTGTTCAGTGTTCTGAAGGAAGAATCATAGTGTGATTTTGCAGTTACAGTTTATAAATTGTATTATTTTCTGTGCTCTGGAAATAGATATTGCCTATTATCAATACATTAATTGAGCACATCTTTGGTACAGAACAGTAGTAGGTATTAGGAGGTGGAAAGTTTGGATATAGCCTCTGTTGGTGATGAGTCTGTAGAGCATGGTGGGGAGAACACAGGTTCTGGAGCCAGACTGTTGTTGTTGTTAATGCCGTCGTGTCGATTCCAACCCATAGCGACCCTGTGCAGGGTTTCCGAGGCTGTAACTCTTTACGGGAGCAGAAAGCCTCATCTTTCTCCCTTGGAACAGCTGGTAGTTTTTGAGATTAGCACTACCACATTTAAATCTCAGCTCCACCCCCTCCTGATTATGTGACTTGAGCACGTTACACTCTGTGTCCCAATTTATTCATCTGCGAAGGTCAAAAGTACTTTTCACGTGGCTTTTATGAGAATTACATTAGTTAGTTTATGTAAAGCCCCCAGCATGGTGTCTGCAGTTTTAGCATTATATGTTAGCTGGTGTCAAGATGTCAAAAATAATTATACTAATGATACTTATTTTTATTAATGGAATGAAATAAATATCCAGGTGCAAAGTGAAAACATCAAATATTTTGGTCTTTGTTTTTGAATTTCTCAAATTTGCAAATTTTAGTTGTATGTTGCTGTTGTTGTTGTTAAGTGCAGTGGAGTTGGTTCCTGCTCATAGGTAGGTTGATAGGGTTTGCAAGGAGCGGCTGATGAGTTTGAATCACCAACCATGCGGTTCAAAACAAACTTGTGGTCCAGCACATTATTCTGTGGTGCTACACCAGGACTCATTTGGTTATATAGGTGTAGAAAAACATTTTATTATTCATTATATATAACTCACAAGCATTTTTCCTACTTTCTAGAATTAATAATTAGAACTTTCTATTTATATAATAATAGCTAGAACTTTTTAGTAAAGATTCAAGTGTTTTCCTGGGAATTTAGCCTTTGGACCTCTCTATATAAGGAGCTCTGGTAGCGTAGTGATTACGAATCGGGCTGCATGGCACAAGGTCAGCAGTTCTAAACTACCAGCTGTTACGCAGGAGAAAGATGATGCTTTCTGCTCCCGTAAAGATTTCCAGCCTCGGAAACCCTGTACAGGGTCACTATGAGTCGGAACCGACTCCACGGCACATAACAACAACAACATATATAACATAGACAAATATTGAATATACCCAAATGTCTTCTGAATGGAAGAAACGTTGGTCCAGGTCTATCTTATATTTTAAATATTGTTTCAAGATATTTACATTAATTTGGTTCACTATGCCAATAACTGATATGAGTATCTATATAATCAACAATTTTATAACCAATCATTGTTATTTTCATATATTATTAGTAATCAAAGTATAGAATTCTAATAAGCAGTGCTTTAGCCTGAATAGTAGAAATATTAGCCCATCCCTGGTTAATAAAATGAATAATTGGTCTAATCTTCAATAGCTATAAGACAATTCCCCTCTTTTCCTTTCACCTCCCTCTTAGTCTCTTCTTCCTCCATTCCTCCTATTTTCGCCTCACCTTCTATATGTTCCTACCTGTATTTAGTCTGCACATTTCTGGCTTCAAGAATGTCCAACTAATCATCATTTATCAAGTGTACCACACTGTCTCTTACTCCCCTGCCTGTGCACAGGCTGTTTTCTGTTTATACTGCTTTTCCCCCTCTTTTTTCCCTGGCTATGACCTATTGATACAATATTGATATTATGTAGAGTTTCAAGGAGTGGCTGGTGAGATTGAACAACCAATCTTGTGGTTCAAACCAACCTTGCAGTGCAGTGCTTTATCCCACAGTGCCACAAGATAATAAAAATAGTACATATATTAAAAATATTGCATATGATGCATATAATAAAAAGTTTACATATAAGCAAATATACAAATATACCTATATGTGTAAACTATGTTTTTATTCAAATAACACATGCCTTATATTAAAAAAATTCTATTAAAAAATTTCATGTAAAAATGGAATGAAACGATAATAGAATTTTGCCATGAACTCTGATCATTTTTGTTTTTGTTCGCCAAACACACCTTTGCCCTAGCGTAGTATTTTTATAAGTGCTGCTTTGCTTATTTTAGAAACAAAATTAGCTTAGTGGAAGGAGCAGTTGGCAAACAAACGTAGGTGTGTGTTATTTGCATAAATATACAGTGTGTGTGTATATGTATATATATATATATATAGTGGCTGTGTGCCCTGGAGCCGGTTCCAACTTGTAGCGACCCTGTAAATTTTTATGGGAGCAGAACACCTCATCTTTCTCCCACGAAACAGCTGGTAGTATTGAACTGCGAGGAAGGGGTAGGGAAAGGGGGAGAGAATCATGGTATGGTACTATAGAATGAATACCAAACCACTAACTGCTAAGTCAATGGTTTGAACCCACCTGTTGCCTCTTGGAAACCTTATACAGGGATCACTATGGTCCAGAGCTGACTTGACAGCACTTAACAAAAGCAGTAGCATATGAATATATAAATATTTTTAAATGCCATCTAGTTGGTCACTACTCATAGCAACCCTGTATAGCATTTCTGCGAAGGGGCTCGTGGGTTTGAACTGCCGACCCTGTGTTTAACAGTCCAGTGGTTATCCCATGCAAACACTTAGAAACAGTGTTGTTGTTGTTATGTGCCGTGGAGTTGGTTCTGACTCATAGCGACCCTGTACAGAGTTTCCAAGGCTGTAAATCTTTACAGGAGCAGAAAGCCTCATCTTTCTCCCACTGAACAACTGGTACTTTCGAACTGCTGACCTGAGATTAGCAGCCCGATTTGTAATCATACCTGATGAAAGATAATGATATGTTCTTGCAATTGAAGAACATTATATTTCTTTGATGTGGTATATATTTATAGCCTGATGCAACCATGTCATTTATAGTTTGCTTTTCTCTTGAGTTTCTTATATCAATTGATAAAGTGCCCCCCCCCAGTGTTATAACAGGATATAAATCCCAATAAGGTTATAAAGGTAATGCAAGTCATTGTTTTTGCAGAGCAAATATATATTGTAATACCCAGGGGGTGTATGTGTGTGCGTGCATAAGTGTATCCTACATACATATATCCTAAATGAATACCACCTTAATTACTGTCACTGGAATAATTAATTTAGATGTAATTTTACAAATAAATTGAAGCCCAGAGCTGAAAATCAATAGTACTGTTGTTGTAATTTTTATAGATTGTAATAACACAAAATGGCAAAAACTGCTCTAAGCCCTTTACACCATTAATACCTTTTTTTTCCCCCAGAGAGTAGATTATATTAGGATTCCATTCTATAGGTGAGGGTACCTAAACACAGAGAGATTTTGAAATGCGCCCAGCCTTGCACAGCTGTGGTCAGGCCCACAGTCTGACTGCAAAGCCCGTCCGTACCTATATCCACTCCCCAACACTGCCTCTCAGATCCCACCCACTCTGCTTTCTTCGCTGCGTCATCCAGAGTCTGCCATACACTGACAATTCTGCACAGCCTGTACGTTGTTGTCATGATGGTAGTATGCTAAGAAATCACTAAGGTTTTGTTTTCTACATAAGAGGGAGTTTTATATTATGCAATATAATATGCATAGTCATGAATGTTAGATTTCAAAGAATGCTAAATTTCAAAGTTGTGTTCATCCATACCAGAGACTGTGTATCAAAAACTTGTTACTTTAGCACCATTTAAATCTTTGAATAGATGTTGCTATTGGCGCTCCACAAGAAGATGACTTGCGAGGAGCTATTTATATTTACAATGGTCGTGTGAATGGGATCTCCACAGCCTTCTCACAGGTATGATACTATTCTGTTTTCAAAAGTAAAAACGTTGATGTAAATGCACTCATAGTGACCAAAGAGGACAGAGTAGACCTCCTCCTTAGGGTTCCCAAGACTTTAAATCTGTACAGGAGCAGACAGCCTCGTCTTTCTCCCATAGAGTGGCTCACGGATTTAAACAGATGACCTGTTTGCAGTCCAACTGTTAACTCACTGCACCATCAGGGTTCCTTTTTGGTATAAAAGCACCCTTAAAATGTCCAAGGATAATGTGGACTTATTTTTCTTAAATTATTTTTTCAAATGTTTAATATTTTACTTCACAATTTTTATAATAGTGGTAAATAATCTCATGTTTAAGGTCACTTATCACTCTTGAAACTTGTCTCCCTCCCCCCCATAAACAAGTTTAAGTTCACTGCCTTTCTAATTTGCCTCTAGGTTGTCAAAGATTTCTTTTATATTTCATCAGATTTATGTTCCAAAGCAACATCATACAATTCTCAAAAAAGTCCATTTGGATTTGATTAACTGGGCCTTGTCTTGTGGCTAAAGCCCCATATTTATTAGATATTACATGGGGAGAGTAAATGCTTATTTGATGCTGTCTTGCAGTATTACTCAGAGTAGTAGGAGGAAAGCACTTTCATAATGTTTAATAAAGTTCTATAACCAAAGTTCTGGTAGCATAGTGGTTACAAATCATGCTGTGAGCCACAAGGTCAGCAGTTCGAAACTACCAGCTGTTCCGCAGGAGAAAGAAGAGGTGTTCTGCTCCAGTAGAGATTTACAGCCTCGGAAACCCTGTACAGGTTGCTATGAGTTGGAACCGATTCCACGGCACACAGCCACCAGCCAACTTCACTTTTATAATCTGAGAAACCAGGGCATTTCAGCATGTACTAAAAATGACATTCATTCCCAAGAACGCAGGGCAAAAACTGGGGATGGAGATACGGGAGATGACACTGTTTTAAAAGATATGTACATAATTTTCTCATAGCTCATAGAGTAAAGAAAGTTTTTTGTTTTTATTTTTGTCATGAACTAGATGCTAACTGTTCAGCCCATGCTGAAAACTTTTGTTTCTCTTGGACTTTTGACTTATTAATCAAAATGCATTTTGCTAATAAATGTGCCAGGGCATAGGGAGGTTCCTTATTTAACTACAGCGTTGTTTCTCTGAGATTGTTATTAAGTGCAATTAGTTGGTTCCAACTCATAGAGAATTGCTGCTGGGTTTGAACTGTGGACCTTGTGGTTAGCAATCCAGTGCTTATTGTATTTAAAACTGCTTGCCATTCAACTTACTTATTTTTCAGAGAATTGAAGGACTTCAAATTAGTGATTCATTAAGTATGTTTGGGCAGTCTATATCTGGACAAATTGATGCTGATAATAATGGATATGTAGGTGAGTATAAAATTATATTTATAGTTGGGATAAGTTCTATTGTTTATGCTGCTCTATTGTGAAGTACATAAAGCTGACATGGAAGACTTCTAATTTACTTATGATATTTTTTCCTTTTATTTCTAAAACTATTGAATCCTAGGATTTTGAAACGATCAAGTAATTTCTAAGCTTTACACTGCTAATTACCTAATGCTGCATTTCTCATTCTTGGAAAAATCAAAATCACCCATGGAAATAAATCAATCCATATGAAACAACAACAACAAAAAAATACTTGTTTTGAGTGGTGTTTTGGGGTTTTGTTTTGTTTTGTTTTGTTTTGCTTTTTAATTAGAAAGTAGGTTTCTGGTCAAATATTTTTAGTCTGATAATGAATAAAGATTTTGTTTTAGTCTGTCTGTCATCAAGTTTATATTTATAATAAAAATGTATGCAGATCAATGAAAATTCATGGATTCAGACAAAAGGGGAATGGATCTTTAGATGTTAGCCTATCTTTCCTAATTAATTTTCTGTAAATAGTGTTTTGGTATAGTCAAAGGTGAGATGTAGTTAAGTATTTATAGCTGAAAAGTAATTCTCTTTGACTAATGACGATCATTAATCTGTGTTGTTGCTTTCTATCCTCCAGATGTGGCAGTTGGTGCTTTTCAGTCCGATTCTGCTGTGCTGCTAAGGTAAGGTTGATGCATTTCATTGCTTAATGACAATTGGACTTAATTGAAAATGATGGGAGGCAATTTTAAAAATCAGCAGTGGTGCTGACCTCATAATGCTCTTTTTGGTATTCTGAAGTTTAATTATTCAACTTTAGGATACTTTTCCTATCATACATAAATATAATTAGATAAATCCTCAGGCATTGTAAATAATTTTAAACATTTAAATGAAAATTTCTCCCTATCAGTGCACAGAAATGCAATGTAGTATACAGGCACACGCTGTTAATAAAGACTTAGGAAATTGTTTGGATAATGTAAACTACTAAAATAAACCAATTGTTAGTCTTCATAAGGAAAAACAATTCTGTCATTAATATTACTAATTTTACTACCTTCTTAGGACAAGACCTGTAGTGATTGTGGAAGCTTCTTTAAACCACCCTGAGACAGTGAATAGAACAAAATTTGACTGTACTGAAAATGGATTGCCTTCTGTCTGCATGGATCTAAAGCTCTGCTTTTCATATAAAGGCAAAGAGGTTCCAGGTTATATTGGTAAGTGTGGTTTTATATAAGTAATGCCTGATGGAGTATGCATGTCTTGCCTTAATCGCTAGTTCATCTTTTGAACTCTCGTTGTTTTATCATGAAAGATCGTTTTCAGAGCTGGAGAGGGCAGCCACCTGATACGTATGTTTCTCTCTAATCTTCCAAATTCTCACTTTGTTCTAATTGATGTGTGGAGATACGTAGGAGATTGTAGTCATTTAGAGATAACAAAGCAGGAGTATCGCTTGCCTTACTGGGTCTGTAAAGTGTGGTGGTGGTGGTTATATGCCATGGAGTTGGTTCTGATTCATAGGGACCCTGCACAGGGTTTCCGAGGCTGTAAATCTTTATGGGGGCGGAAAGCCTTATCTTTATCGCACACAATAGCTGGTAGTTTCAAACTGCTGACCTTGAGGCTCGCAGCCTGATTGGTAACCACTACACTACAAGAGTCTAGAGCTGGTTTAAGCTGGAAGGTCTGGGAGAAGAAGTTTCTTTTCTTCATATTTTATCCTGTTTGAATAGTTGAAGAAATTTATATGGAATTAGGCCATACTTCTAATTTCTCTAAATAATACATATCTCTTAATGAGTTACTATGACTGCCAGCTTCTGAGACTCACCCTCATGTCCCTATAAGCAAGTCACTCTCAGTTACCTTATCTGGAGAAAGTAACATTGATATGAATCATCCAAAATGATGATTAGTCCCAAATCACATATATGTTTTATATTGCAAATCCTACACAGGGTTACTATGAGTTAGAACCAACTCAAAGGCACTTAACAACAACCATATAGGAAAATGGTCACAGAACCACACAAAATAGAATTATTCCAAGTGACTTTGAGCATGCGCTCTGCCTTTTGTTTTCTTAGCAAGATGTTCTAAGGACAAAAAGTACTTCAAAAATATCTTAAACATGATTTATTGTTATTGTTAAGTGCTGTTGAGTGGGTTCCGACTCATAGTAACCCTGTATAGGGGTTCCAAGGCTCTTTAAATCTCTGCAGGGGCAGAAAGCCCCATCTTTCTCATGTTGTGCACCTGGTGGGCTTAAACCTCTGTCCTTGTGGTACATAGTCCAGTGTTTATCATATGGAGCCATTGCACTCCCTTTTTATTACTAGTAACAGATTATATGGAGTCTTGATGTGGTGTTGTAGGATAAGCACTGGACTGCTAACCCCAAGGTTGGCTGTTCAAACCCACCAATTGCTTCTAGGAAACCTTTTAAAGGGTTGCTATGAGTTGGAACTGACTCGGTGGCACTGAACAACAACAACAGCTTAAATGCTACTATTTTGGAACTTCTGTATATAGGAGGATTAAGCAAATAACTAAAGTTATTGATGTTGTTAATAACTAGAACTCAGAGAAAAGCTTACAAAATTATTTTTTAATGTATAAAAACATCTTTTGAAATTTGTATTTTCAGATTTTTACCTCTTTCATATTTCAGATTTTTATTACTAAATATTATTTTGTTGTTGTGAATTTCTACAACAAAGCATGCACCAGTTAAACAATCTATACATGTGCAATTCAGCAACATGGATTATATTCTTAAAGTTGTGTAACTAGCCTTACTATTTTTCTACGTTTTTTCTCCCCTATAAACCCACTGTTTCCCAAGGTTCCCATCTAAACTTCCAAGCTCCTGTTGTCAGTTTGATTCCATTACAAGAACATAATGCTCAAGTCAAAAATGTTTTACTTTAAGGTTCTTCAAGTAGGTTCCAGTCTTACATAGGGACCCTGTGTACAAGACGTACCCTGCTGTGCCATCCTGGCAGTCATTGTTATATTTGAGCTCATTGTTGCAGCCATGGTGCCAGTCATTTCATTAAGGATCTTCCTCTCTTTCACTGACCCTCTACTTAACCAAGCATGATGTCAGTATTCTTTGCCAGCACTGTTAAAGGCAATAAGCCTTCTTCAGTCTTCTTTATTCATTGCCCAGCTTTCCCATGCATGTTGTTGTTGTTGTTGACTGCTGTAGAGTCAATTCCGACCCATAGCGACCCTGTATAGGGTTTCCGAGGAGCAGCTGGTAAACTTGAACCCCTGACCTTGCAGTTCAAATGGCTTTGCAGTCTGGTGCATTAACCCACAGCTGTCCACCAGGACTTCAATGCATAGAGGTAAAAATGCCATGACTTGAGTCAGATGTACGTTTGTCCTTAAAGTGGCATCTTTGCTTTTTAACACTTTAAGTAGATTTTTGTAGCAGATTTTTCCAATGCAATGCACAGTTTCATTCTGTGATTGCTGTATCCATGGGCATTAATTGTGGATCCAAGTGAAATGAAATCCTTGACAACTTCATTCTTTTCTCCATTTAACATGATGTTGCTTATTAGTCCAGTTGTAAGGATTTTTGTTTTTTTAATGTATAGTCCATACTGAAGGCTGCAATCTTTGATTTTCATCAGTAAGAAGTACTTCAAGTCCTCTTCAGTTTCAGCACAAGGTTTTATCTATGGGTCGCAAGTTGTTAATGAGTGTTTATCCAATCTTGATGTGAATAGTCTAGTTTTTTTGGATTATGTGAATAGTCTAGTTGTTTTGGATTACTTGCTCAGCATACAGATTGAATAAGTATGGTGAAAAGGTAGAATCCTGATTCACACCTTTTCTGATTTTCAACCACCCGGGATCTCCTTGTTCTGTTCAAAGGAGGTAAAGCTGAAACACTAAACTCATTTGTAGGCCAGTTTACTGGGATGGCCCTTTAAACCATGGCCTTCAACCTCCAAACCAAAGAACCAAATTTCATGAGGTCATTCATTGTACATAGCTGCTGCAGTAGCTACTTTTGTATCCTTGTAAATATATTTATCTTACTTTTTACAGGTGTAAAACTTCTTGACAGCAATTACCATAATCACTGTGCAACCCTACCCTTAATCAGTGTGATTTTTCCATCATTGTAAACCCCACTTTTCTCCTTCCTTTACATCCCATTACCACTAACAAGCTTTAGTCTCTATGCATTTCCCTTTTACATAAGTAAGATTTTACAATATTTGCCTTTTGTGATTGACTTATTTCATTCAACTCAACAGTCTAAACCACCATTGTCTTCAAGCTCCATCCATATTGTAACAAGACTTCATTTCTCATACTGACTGAACACTAATCCATTGTATGTATGATGGGGGATTCAAAACATCCATGGAAAAATGGAACTAAAAGATTATGGCATTTTTCCACGAAATTTTTGAAACTCCGTCATTTGCACCACATTTTAGGTATCCATTCATCTGTTGGTGGGCATTTAGGTTGTTTTTTTTTCTACCTTTTGGTCATTGTAAGTAGTGCTGAAATGAATAGTGGTATACAAGTCTCTTTGAGTCTCTGCTTTCAAGTCTTTTGGGTATATACGTCAGAGTGAAACTGCTGGATTATCCTAGTGTGACACTGTAGGATAAGCTCTGGATTGCTAACCACAAGGTTGGCAGTTCAAACCTACTGCTGCTCCTTGGAAACCCCATACAGGGTCACTATGAGTCAGAACCAACTGCATAGCACTTAGCAACAACATAGTAGTTCTATTTGGAAGATTTTGAGGAATTGTCATACTGTTTTCAACAGCAGTTGAACCATTTTGCATTTCCACCAGCGATAGATGATAGATAATAGTTTCCCCACATCCTCGCCAACATGCACTGCTTTATGGTTTTATTTGTTTTTGTTTTTATTTTAGTCATTTTAGTGGGCATGAAATGGTATCTCACTGTGGTGTTTGATTTGCATCTCTGATAACTAATAACTCTGAGCATCTTTCCATGTGTTTGGTGATCATTTAATGTCCTCTTAAATAATAAACTCTCACTTCAAGTCCATTGCCCAATTTATGATTGGGTTATTTATCTTTTTGTGCTTAGCTTTTCACAGTTTGTGTTGGTTCTTAAAAAAAACTATTAATTTTAATATATTTACAGTGTTCTATGTAACTGTTATCATTTCAAAAATAGTAAAATAAATGCTTTTAAGTAATTACTTACGTTCATTGAAATTCTCTCTACATTTTTACAGTTTTGTTTTATAACATGAGTCTGGATGTGAACAGGAAAGCAGAATCTCCATTGAGATTTTACTTTTCTTCTAATGGAACTTCTGACGTGATTACAGGAAGCATGCAAGTATCGAGCAGAGAAGTTAACTGTAGAACACACCGAGCGTTTATGCGGGTAATGTAAACTATTTCTTATGAATGAATATATAAACTTCAAATATTCGCAACAGAACAGTAAGACTCTAATTATATTTATCTCCTTTTGTGAAATGTAGTTAAGTGTAACTGTTATTTCCTCCTGGATTTGTTGACCTATTGCTTTCATGTCACAATGTTGACTAGTCACAACCTGGATAATTCAAAGTTCACATTTTACATCTTCATTTGCATGGATCATCCTTTACAATGTCACTGGTTTTAAAGATTTGCTTTTTTCTACAGTTGCCATTATATTATTCTTGTCTGTATGTTGAGTACCAGTGAGTCCATTTCAATTCATAAGAACCCTATGCACAGAAGAATATATCACTGCTCAGCCCTGCCGATCCTCACGATTATTATGTTTGAGTCCACTGTTGTAGCCTCTGTGTCTGTCGGTCCATCTTGTGGAGGGTCTTCCTCTTTTTCTCTGACCCTCAACAGTATGATATCCTTTTCCATTGACTGACCTCTTCTGATAACATAGCCAAAGTAAGCGAGACAAAGTCTCACTGTCTTCTTTTCCATGGTGTATTCTGGCTGTGGCTGTACTTCTTTCAAGACAGGTTTGTTTGTTCTTCTGGCAGTCCATGCTATATTCAGTATTCTTTGTCACCACCATAATCAAAAGCATCAGTTCTCCTTGGATCTTTTCTATTCATTGTCCAGCTTTCTCCATGAGGTTGAAAATGGCTTGGGTCCAATTCAGCTTGGTGAAATTTTTGCTTTTTAACACTTTAAAGAGGTCTTTTGCAGTGAATTTGCCCAATACAATATGTCATTTGATTTCTTAACTGCTGTTTCCTTGGACATTTATTGTAGATGCAAGTAAGATGAGATCCTTGACAACTTTAATCTTTTCTACATTTATCATGATATTGCTAATTAGTCCAGTTGTGAGGATTTTTATTTTCTTTATGTTAAGTAATGTTAGCATACAGTAATTCATTCTTAAGACTGCAGTGTTTGATCTTCTTCAGTGTTTCAAGTCCTCTTTACTTTTAGCAAACGAAATCTATATATTGCAGTTTGTTAATGAGTCTTTCTCAAATCCTGATGCCATGTTCTTCTTCATATAGTCTAGTTTCTCAGATAGTTTGCTCAGAATAAGTATGATAAAAGATATAACCCTGATGTACACCTTTCCTGCTTCCTATGTAGTATTCTCTTGTTCTGTCTGTATGTTGCTGTTGTTGAGTGGCGTCAACTCAGTTTCTACTCATAGCAACACTGTATAGGGCTTCCAAGGAGTGACTGGTGAATTTGAACCACCAACCTTGCAGTTAACTTTCGGTTAGCAGTCCAGTGCTTATCCTACAATGCCACACCAGGACTCTGTCTATATATCTGGTGGTAAGTGTACTTGTTGAGTAGATCTGTTGAAACTTCAGTTTTATTCCATGGTAGTTTTTTGGGTGGGGAGTAGTAGTTTTTCTGTTCTGGTTGTTTTTAACATGATTAAAAGAGCCGAATCCAACATGGCCATTTTGGATTGTCTTTGTCTCTGTGCCAGCATTGTCAGTGGCGTCAGTGGGAACTTGAACAGTTGTACCATGGTGGGTTTCATCTCTGGGACTGGGATGATGGCACACATGATGATTAGGGATGTGTCCTGCCAAGGCATAGTCAATTTCATGTTTCTTTTATTAAACCACACATTCCCAAACTGATCATCACATTCCTTACGTTGGTCAAATGTTATCATATGAAGCAGTGCCAGGTCTTTTTCATTAGGGAATGGTGTACTTTATCAGAAAATCTATTGTCACAAAAAAAGCCAAACTATTCCCAGGAGCCCTTTCTGGGATTTCAAATAGTAGCATCAGCTTGGAACTTAATTTTCCCTTAGATAGTTATTCCAAGCGAATGCAAGCAGGCATCAAGATTCCAATACGCTATAAATGCTAAAAGCAATAATCCCCATGCTAGTTCCTCATTTCCCTTTACAGGTTTTATTGTTGTACTAGAATGAAACTATTAGATGGGCGACCGCCAAAAACATAGAATAATATTAATACAACCATCATTTATGTAGTAGAGATTAAAGAGGTTCTCCTTTTGCATCCTTCACAGATGTGGCTGTACAGAGGTTAGTTCATTTTAGAGACACATATTGAGACCATATTAGAGGCAATAAAACATTAAGTGTTCACAAAGAAACACGTTGTGTTGAATTTGTAAAAAAATGATAGCAAATCAACTTGCTTTATTTAGTCATATGTTTCTTGGCATTCTTCTTATAAATAAGGGCTTATGAAAATTGTGCATTTACTTTAGAATGAATTTGTAATGGAAATTGCATTGTAGCAAATGTTTCTGTGTTTTGTTGTTTATATACTTAGAAAGTTACCGTGGCATTGACAGCGGCAAGATCGCCATTGATTTCAGGTCATTTAACCAGGAGGTGTTTGTGGAATTTAAACAAAAGAAGTTCATGCTGAGATTAGTATATAATATGTTTTTTTTAATAATAAGATTGACTTTTTTCTCTAGTATCTTGTCTCCTTTTCTTGCTTTTGTTTAGGACACATTTCGAAATAATGTATAGATAGGGAAAAAGCTATTTAACCCTTTCATTTTCAAACAAACCCAGAGAAGATATAAAAAAACATGGGAACAGTTTCCTCAGCCAAGAGTTATATCAAGGAACCCTAACTGCTACTTAGAAATGAGTGAGAATGTAGTGAGTGCATTTTCCACTCCCACCAGTGTGCTATCCCAAGACTTTCGGAAACGTGAACGATCCATTAAGCTGCTACCAATTGAAAGAATAAGACATGAACCTGAATTCTTCTGTCTTCATAGTAACAGTGGATATGAAGGTGGACAGTGGTCAGTATACCTAGATTGCTTCTTTGTCCATAAAACATGACTAGTGTCAAAAGTGTTAATACCCATATGCATTCCATCTCAACACCTTTTATAAGAAAATGAGGTAGCGCTTGTAACAATGTTTGTAAACTCTCAATCTCCAAGTCTCAGAGGATTCCCTGCCTGCTATTTGGATATGTTTTACTTGTTCAGTTGTTTTCATTAGCCATATCAATTAAGCTTCATTTTTCTGTTTATTCAATTAACTTATTAGATATTTGTTGAGTTTCTGTATTGTGCTGGGCATTCCTGGGTGGTAAAAATGGCTAACATGCTAACCTGGTGCATTTTGCCAGGTTTTGTTTGAGATACTTTTGTTTTAGTTTGTTTTATCTTCAAAGGTAAATTTATCAATGAATGAAACAGAAGAAGAGTTCTACCTTTGCTCAGCCTATATTCTTGTTGTGGGAAAACAATCAATATGATAAAAATGAATTTTTTTTTTACCATATTTTAGAATAAGATAAAGACGATGGAAGAAAGAAAAAGGAATTTTGTATCCCCAGAGTCTTACTTATATACATAGTAAGCTTATTTGTAGTTGTTATTAGGCGCCATTGAGGGATTACCAATTCATAGAGGCCTTATACACAACTGAATGAAACAATGCCTGGTCCTGCGCCAATCTCACAATTGCTGCTAAGTTTGAGCACACTGCTGTGGCCATTGTGTCCGTCCGTCTCGTTGAGGGTCTTCCTCATTGTCACTGACCCTCTGCTTTACCAAGCATGACATCCTTCTCTAGTATCTGGACCCACCTGGTAATAGGTGGAAGTTTGAGAAACGAACTCTGGCCATCCTGGCTGTACAATAGGTTGCTTGATTTATTATTGCAGCACAGATTTGTTTGTTCTTCTGGCAATCCATGGGACTTTTAATAGTTTTCTCCAACACCATAACTCAAATGCATCAATTCTTCTACAATCTTCCTATTCGCTGTCCAACTTTTACATGCATATGAAGATATTGAAAATACCTTGATTTGGGTCAGGTGCATTTTAGTTCACAAACAGTCGTCTTTGCTCTTGAACACTTTAAAGAGATTTTGTGCAGCAGATTGGCATAATACAATATATTGTTTGATTTCTAAGCTTCCATGAGTGTTGGTGGTTGATTTTAGCAAAATGAAGTATTTGACAATTCCAGTCTTATCTCTATTTATTTTGTTGTTATTTTTTAGTCCAGTAGTGAGGACTTCTGTTTTCTTTACATTGAGGTGCAACTCATACCAAAGGCTGTGGTCTTTGTTCTTTATCAGTATTTTAAGTTCTCTTCACTTTCAGCAGGCAAAGTTATATCTCTGCATATTGCAGGTTGTTAATGAGTTTTCCGCTAATCTTGATGCCATATTCTTCCTCATATAATCCAGCTTCTCAGATTACTTGCTCAACATAAAAATTGAAAAATATGGTGAAAAAAATACAACCCTGGCATCCACTTTTCCTGATTTTAAACCATTCGCTATCTCCTTATTCTGTTTGAATGACTATCTCTTGATCTATGTTCAGGTTCCTCATGAGCACAAGTAACTGTTCCAGAATACTCATTCTCCGCAGTGTTGTCCATAGTTTGTCATGATCCATACAATTGAAAACCTTTACATAGTCAATAAAGCCCAGGTAAAAATCTTTCTGGTATTCTCTGCTTTCAGCCAACGCCCATTTTATATCAGCAATGCTATCCCTTGTTCTACATTCCCGTCTGAATCTGACCTGAACCTCTGGCAGTTCCCTGTCAATGTGCTGTAGCTATTTTCAGTTCTCTTTAGCAAAATTGTACTTGCGTGCAGTATTAATGATAGTTTCCAATGATTTCCGCATTCTGCTAGGTCACCTCTCTTTGGATTGGGCATAAATATACTTCCAGTCAGTTGGCCAGGTAGTTGTCTTCCAAATTTCTTGGCAGGGATGACTGAGTGAGTGCTTCCAGTGCTGCATCAGTTTGTTGAATGATTTCAATTGATAGTCCATCAATTCCCAGTACCTTATTCTTTGCCAATGCCTTCAGTACATCTTAGACTTCTTCCTTCATTATCATTGGCTCTTGATCATATGCTTCCTCTTGAAATGGTTGAACATCATTTATTTTTGGTACAGTGACTCCATG